GGAGGCTCACTGGGTGCTGAGCGCTGTCCAGCACACCCTCTTCCTCCTTAGGACTCTGCAAAAGCACAGGTGGCCAGGCGGCCACACCTCCGGAAGCAGCAGCACCAGGCTGCACATTCCTTAAGGTAAAGTCACACTGTGTGCATTACATGTGTCGCCCACAAGAGAGGACCTTCACAAATCACTTGGACAGCATCAGAGGCCTCCTGGGACGGTGAGGCCCCTCAGTTGCTCCTAGGACGGGACAGAAGGATGATGGCGCCCCAGGCTGAATGAGTCCCTCCCAGCCTCAGAGGAGAGGGAGAGGCCTGCGTGTGGGGTCAGAACTCTGCTCAGAGAGCAGGCGAGGGAGGACTGGTTCCTCTGCCCACCATGGATGTGAGGACCAGCCCAAAGCACAGGCAGACCACACAGCGACTTGGTGGGACAAGCTCCTGTCTGTTGCCCCCAGTTGTGGTTTGAACCTGAGCAATTGTGGAGAGCCGACCTTCTGCTCCATAGGCAGAGGCGCCCTTCCCAGAGGATAGTCTCACTCAGCCCCTAGGTGACTGACCGTGATGGCTACTGTTTTTCACGTTTGGGGCCCTGAGAGGGAAGTGTCTGTTTTCTAACAGAAACACTGCCAAGTTACAAGGCTGGAAAAGGTGGTGAAGGTGAGAAAGTGGAGAGCTTTCTAAATCCAGCCAAGGACTGGAGGGATTCCCATCAGGGGCCTGTGCTGTGGCACTGAACAGTGAGGACCCAGCTGCAAACAACAGACACTATGTCCTCACAGGGGCCTTTCAGTCCCCTTCTGCCTGCTCTGTGCCCCCAGCTCCCCCAACAGCCTTCAGAGCCCAGGCTGGGCTCTCCGCTGGGGAGACTGTGTGCGCCACACTCGGCTCATTGTGGCTAGATGCATTTTGTTACTGACATTCATGCCTGTGGTGCTATTTCCACTCTGGGAAGGAGCATGTTTTCCTTTCTAAGTAATTATTAGATCTGGTTAAATAGTTAGAGCAATGGAAACTTGCCCATGAGGACAGTGAAGGTTGTGGAAGGGACAAACCAGTGGCTGCAGGTTGGGATGCTGTCTCAAGCATCCCAGAGACACTAGGGACTTAAGGGGGTTGGGGGAACTGGTTGCATTTTCAAAAGACCACTCCTGGTGCTCTGTGGAGAAAGGGCTGGAGAACAGAGTACAAGCTGGGGGCAGGAGGGGTCCCCCAAGGGGCAGGAGGAAGATACAGAAGGAGGGTGGTGGGCCGAGAGCAGTGGCGTGCAGAGGGGTTGAAGATGTGCCATCTGCCCTCAGAGGAAAAGGTCGATGCCCAGCCTGACAGAGGCTCTCCCAAGAGGCAGGTGACTGCAGGGTGAAGGGAGGGACAGGTTTGCTTGGGGGCCCACTGAGCTGGAAGTCTGGAGACACCTGCATACAGACATCTAGTGGGTGGGCTTGAAAGACAGACCAGGCCGGATATGCTCATGGAGGATGCCACAGCTAGGAGCGCAGAGGAGAAAACACAAAGAGAAACATGCAAAAGAGGCCAAAAGAGGTGAGGGTTTGCAGTGGCTGAGCCTGCTGGGCACCAGAGACAGCAAAGCCTGTGCTGGACTTGGCAGGGGAGCAGTGAGAAGGTGGGAATAGGTGGAAGGTGGGCAAAGGTTGGAGAGGGAAGGAGAGAGGAAGGAGGCTTCCAGAGGGAAGAGACCTTTTGGAAGGGGATGAGATGGGAAACACTTGGTGGGTTCCAGGGCTGGTGGGGCAGAGGAAAAGGATGAATCCAACCCTAGCAAAGGTGTTCCCTGGACAGAAAACAGCCTTCTATGTTGTCTAATTTTGCTGGTGAGGGAGGAAGGTGGTCACGCTGGGGGAGGAGGTCACCTGCCACAGGGGAAGCAGGACATCACATGGCAGGGTAGTAGGGACATGGAGGCAAGAGCTGGACCAAGCAGAGGGCTCAAGCAGTCACTGGGAAGGGGGCAGGGCTGCCTGAGAGCATGAAAGGCCCAGGGGAGAAGGGTCCCCCTCCCTTCTGTTCCTTACCAGCGGGGCCATGGGCCCTCCATGCTCAGTCACTCATCTGCAGCACCCTGGCAGAACCCCGCAGCTCTCCCAGTCCTGGCACAGGGCTGAGGGGCTTGGCTCAGGGAACTCATGCTGGGTTTTGCTAGGAGTTTGGTGAGTAGGGGAGTCTACCACACAGGCCCTCACGTCCACGAAGCAGGGCACAGCCACGTGAGAAAGGAGACGGTGTGGGAGGAAGTTAGGCCAGGACTGACCCAAGGCCTTGGAGGCATGGGGAAGAGAAGTGAGGAGTGAGCTACAAGCCCTGGGGTGTCATTGAACCATGATGTAACACATGAAAGCAAATGATCCCAGAAACTGTTCTTTTTCCCAGACAGGAGCGTCTTGCAAGTATAAACACTGGCATCATAACCAAGCCCAGCGGGAAACTGTCAGCATTTTTTGAGCCTGAGTAGTTTCTTCATAACCTTTTCAATGCTTCAACCCAGGCTACAGCTGGACTCACTTTTCACTGATAAGAAATCCATCACCAGGAAGCTGCACGGACAGCAAAGCCCGACATGGACCACGTTCTTAGAACCTGGCCAGCCTGACCCTAAAGTAAAGCAAAGCAATTTCTCTAGCTGCCGTGAAAGAAGGGGCCTTGGGCAGGGTCTGCTGAGCAGCAACATGGCTCTGATCTGCCCTTGAGAGGCCGCTTCAAGGTGCCAGGCCTCAGTTCCTCACCTAGAGCACTGAGCTGCTCTAGATGATCCCTAGGACTCTAGCTGCCCTGAGGACACTCTTGAGTTATGGGTGGGGATTTGTGTTGACTGAGGAGGCTTGGGATTGGCCACTGCCATATGTACCTATTGCCATGGAGCCCATTCTCGACTTGATGACATGTGAGCAGGAACAAGAGCAATCTACTTCTCACCCAAAATGTAAATGCCTCACACCTGCACCTTGTTATGGTCCTGTGCAATGGCACAGCTTAAAACATTCAATTCAGGGATCCAGATGAATGTGGTGGGTCTCCGCACTCGTGGTAAAAACAAACCCTGGAGGGCCTCTTGGTGAACTTGCCCACAGCCAGGGGCCCACTGAAGAGAGAACTCAGCCTCCTACTGACACCAGAGCACCTGCCCCTTCCCAGGGTTTCTTGATTTTGCTAGGAATTCACTGAGGCTTCTGATGTCATGAACTGGTCTTTAAGACTGAGTCATGCTGAGGGAGTCAAGATGTGTGATGTCACTCAGAGGTTATCATCTGGGCCCTTCAGATTCTGGGCCAGTGGGGACCAGTCCCTCCCCACAGGCCCCGGAAACCCAGGAAATGAACCATACCTTTAGCTGTTCTTAAGCAGTGAGTTCATCTGCCCACAGTGGATGGATAGTGGCAGCTGCTACCCATTTGAAATTGGCTTCCTTTGGTCATCAAAGGAAGATGGGCACTTCAGGCCAGGCTCTCTCGGTTACGCTATCCCAGATGGTCTGCGTCTCCATAAGGGCAGGGGTGTCTGGATCAAATGTCACCACACCCCATATGAGTCTTGGTGCCCAGAAGGCTGCAGGGAAGGCACCTCAGCCCACATGTACTTCCAGGTATTTCACGTGGGGATGAGGCTGGTGGTCCCATGGCAAGGCAAAGAGAAACCCTGGAACCTGGATAGAAAATGAGTTTACTTGCAACTGTAGGGCTGAAAACTAATGGGTCCCAAAATGGCGTGGCGATCCTGTCAGTTCCAAATGAAGGCTGGGCCACATGGCGAGGCCTGTCAGCTGGCGGGAACAAGAGCTTCCAGTGTGCGTAATACCTGTTCAATGTGCACAGGGTCCTGCTTGGACAGGACAGACTCCTCCGTCCCTTGGAAGCCCCTTACATGTGCTGGCCAATGTGCTGGCCAGGGAAATGACACCCACATTCTTTTCATCCCATTACACCTTGGTAACTGCAATGCCTGCCTCCCACAGGCAACCTGCCCCTCCTAGCTGCCCTGTGGTGGCCTCCTGTGGGTTTGCGCATGTGAAGAGATGGCACTGCTACTTGATAAAACCCAGCGGTCACCAACCCTCGTCTCTCACCCACCCAGTGCCATAGGTGGTCTCGAACCCCCATGTGGGCCCTAAGCGTGTAGCCTGGTCTTGTAGAAACACTACCAGGCTGTGAGCCCTCCCATCCCTGCCATATCCTCCACAGCATCAGCCTTTGCTATTTCACCCCAACTGGCCCCCGCAGATTGCTGCTGATTATCTGATGGATTCACAGAGGATTCTGTGCCTCAGCTGCCAGGTCCCTTCTGGAGGCTTCGTTGCCTGAGAGGCCTTCCTGGACGGGCACCAGGCCGACTACCTGTCGTAGTTTGCTACCACCAGGAGGTATTTCTATTGCTTCCACACCTTATTGGAGCTAAGTGCCACAAGGATAGGTCTGTTCTCTGGGGAGCACCTGCTCAGAGTGCTTGCAAGAACTCTGTAGAAGGAGGGATGAGAGTCTTGCCCATGAAGCCACTGTGGCAACACACAAGGCACTATGGCAATGGTTCTAGAGCACACAACAAAGGGGGCTGTGTAGTCTGGAACACAAGAGTTCTGTCACTTACTGGCTGGTAAGACTTCTTACCAAACTTCCTTACACATTGGAGCTACATTTCAAGGTGCACTGGATTGTCTGATAGTTGGAAATATAATGGAAAGTTGACCTAGACAAAGGTTTCATAGCAACGTCTGAAGTCACAGCAACCTATGCAGGCTTGTCAGAAACTGCACAGAAGCATTGTCGCGGACCTTAAGAATCCCTGCCAGCATCAGCGTACAGGACAGAGGGCTTCCGCCACAGGCCCTGCAGTCTGGAGCTCTATGAAGGAAAAACCCACCACCACACCAGCCAACCATGCTCTAGACTGGCACCTGCCCTTTCGCAAATCCTACGCAAACCCAGCAACTGGCTAACTGACATAGAAGCCACCTTACCAGGGAAAGGGAAAGAACAGACTCAAACACAAAACTGGTTTCCAAAGTTTATTAAAAATCAAATAGAAAAACGTTACATAAAAATATGTCAATTTTAGCTTCCACATTGTTGTCCACACACAAAAAAATCGAAACATGATATCTTCTTGTTAAACCTGTAGTGCACGACCACGTTGGTAGCCAGGCCAATTCATTTGGTTCACCACAACAGGAATGGACATGGTACCGGTGTCTGTCTATGGATCGAGCTTTAAAATGCGCACCTAAGGGACGTGGTCCCCCCAGTGGTTTCCTTATGTAGGTTTACAGTCAATATTGCTAACGCGTAGATTAGTACAGGCCTACGGATCAGTGTTTATAAATATGCTTTATCAATAGGTTCACAATTTAAATATTTTTAAATATTTTGGGTGATTCCAATTGTCAAGAACTGCAGACCCTGTGTGCTGTTCTGCTCTGGAATGCCTCCTGGATGCCCACGGTCATAGTTGACAGCCCAGCAAAAGGGTGTGAAGACATGGGCCAGTCCTGCTTCAAGAGGCAGACCCAGACACGCAGAGCCCGTCCTGGCTGGGTGTCCATCCGATTCAGTCGTCGATCTAGAATTCCCACTGCTGCTCATCAGTCAGATGACACTGCAACTAGTTTGTCTCAACATTCTGCACTAGTGGCCTTCAAAGACCGACCTACCTGTAGTGTTTAGTGGGGCCAGAACACCCCATTTTAAAAACGGGAAGTCAGAGGGCCTACAAGATGCAACCAACTCCCAGAACTGTGGTGCTCTGAAAACTCAGGGTTAGGCAGGATGGATATATTCTTGTTCAAAAAAAGGTTACAAAGACAGTGGTTGTTGTGGCAGAATACACTTGCATAGTACACCTGTATGCTTCTGACGCCAGGCACCAGCTGCTTCTGGGCCCATGCTGGGCTGTGCTCTCCTGCAATACATTAAAATACCCCCCACATGCCCTGAGCAGCGGAGGTACTTCTCGGTATTTGCTCTTAACAGAACGAATGCATACTGCTATGCAGATTCCTCAATGGAATCAACGTAATTCCTTTCTCCACATTCCTAAAACTGGGTGCCATTGTCTGTAATGATACTCACCAGGCCCATCATTACAGGCCATGTCACGAAAGCGGACTGAAGCATTTCCACATTCACATTTGCTTAAAGATATTATAATGTGACAACCTTTTCTCCCCTTAGAAAGTTATACTTCTGGCACTTTAAATGCTGGATTTGTTGTCTAGTTTAAAAGAACCCAAACCAAAACGTTAGAACTCCTGGTCAGAACAGGACAGCCTGAGGCCCCACGGCAGGGCTTCCAGGGCACTCATCAGAGGCCCCAGAGCTGAACCCTACAAAAGCCATCAAGGCCACTCAGCTCCTTCACTTGCATCTGACCAAAAGAAAAGACAAAAATAAAACCCCAAACCCCTCATGTCATGGTGTTTGTAATGATGCTCATCAGACAACCAGCCAACACGATGAACCCAACTTAGAAAATGCAACTTGGGAAAGGCTCTAAGCTTTTTTAAAAAAAATTCCCTCCTCCTTTAAATATAACTTATGTGAAAATATGAAATTAAATAAAAAATATCTGAGTTATTGCACAAATCATAAGTTTTCAATATTTACATAGAAAAACAGTTCCAAGGTTTCAAACAAGACGTGAGGGCAGTAAAATGATGGCCTCCAACCCTCCCCACTAGGAAAGACGTGAGAACAGGGCCTGACTCCTCTGCTGCTGTGACAGACACAAAACAGAAGCTCTGAACCACCAAGGAGCAGGCATGGCTGCTGTAAAGCCACAAGAGCACATTCCCGTCCCTGTGCTCCCCAGCCCGCCCTGCTGGGGCGGATGGAGACTCTGGGCAGGTAGACACACGTCCATGTTTAGTAAGGCTTCACAGATGAGCACAAGGAGCTGTTCTGGAAGATGGACGCGACCACCACACAAAGGAACATGCAGAGTGATCAGCGGTGGGCGGGGCAGGCACTCCGGCCTGCAGCTGAGGTGCTGGATGCTGGTCTTGGTTCCCCTGAAGTGCCCAAGGCCACCGGGCAGTTGGGGGTGGGCGCAGCCAGGAGCCATTATCTGCTGAGACTCACAGGCAGGCTGTCCCTCGTGTGTGCGTGCTTTTTCCTCCTCCAGCCAGTACGGTTGTACTGATGGTGTCCCCGATTGCCCACGGGGGGGCGCACGCTTCCACTGCCCACAGAGTTGTAGCCCCCACCCTGGGCATGGCTGTGGGAGCCTTTCATGGATAGTTTCATGCCATTGTGCTGCTGGAGAGACAAAGAGGAAGAGCACTGTTAGAGCACAGCATACAGACCATGTGCCGGCACGATGCCTATGGAAGAATGGCCCTGCCAAGACTGCAGATACAAGGTCTTCAGGCAGCAAGCTCAAGTGGTTAAGAGCTGTATCCACCTCCACTGGTAAGAGGATGGGAACTACAGAAGAGAGAATGTGCAAACGACTAACGTGCAGCTATGTCCACACTGCCACGTCAGGCACATGTCTACATAATACTCTAGAGGCAAGAACAAGAGACACTTGAACTCTGACACTTCATGGACACAGAGCATCCTACCTGTTCAACGATCCACTTGGTAAGCACAGTGGGCCAGTGTCACATTACACAAGTTCACTAGACTCTCCCTTCTAACTTGCTATGTTTGCCCTTAGGAACAAGATGTTCCTTTGCCATTCCTTTCCCCCATCTGTGACCGGGAGCCACCCACGTGGGTCATGCATGCCCTATCTCTTGGGCCTGTGCGTCACTATATGCAGCAGCTGGGTTTGGGGTGCTTCCAAATCATGGACCTTGCACTGCAAAGCAGGCAAGAGAAAACACAATTTGGCTTCCAGAAGATTCAGAGCAAAACAAACAGCAGGAAGAGGTGAGAAGAAAGGAAAGCAGATCAGAAGCAACAAAGGCTGCTCTCTCCTGCAAAATTGTAACTTCATCCTGTTTCTGACAGGGTGGCACAGCAATGCAACAAAGGCACTACTGCTACAGGATTGTTAAACCTAAGGAGTGTTCTATTATGTAACTCTTAATAAAATAATCAGAAATTAATGATAAGGGGTTGAACCAACCCTCAGTAACAAAAAAGAATTTACAGACAAAATAGGATTAGGTAAGACAAAGAGGAACTGTTGAAGCAAGAGTTGTGAACACTAACATAAGCACCCAGGTCTCATGGGATCCCAGGGAAAAATATCAGACCCTGTACAGGATTCCTGCTGGAAGACTTGAGTCACAATTCTCCAAGCAGTCGGGCATGTCAAGAGCAAAGGCACTTCGTGAGGACCTGTCTGATCAGTACAGATTTCTAATGCACTAGTTCTAGGTGGAGAGACGCCATGGGGCATGGTTCAAGCACTCCCAGGGTCCCACTGAGCGCTGAGAGCACACCAAACCAGGGCCTGGCCATGCACCCCTTCCCTTCACCCGGGCATAGCAGAAAGCTACTTGGTAAATACAGTACCATACACAGGTGTGGCAAGAGTGTAGCAAGATTTCTTGGTTTTATCCATTGCTTCCTGAACACTAAAGTATTTATAAAATGAACTTAAGTAAATGAGAAAACAAAGTAGTCTGTGTTTAGAACCCCACTTATTTCAAATTTCAGTTTTATGGTAATCAATTCAACAAAGAATTGAGTGATACTGCGTGGCAACAAAAATATATTACATTGTAAAGTAGTTTAAAGTTTTCTTTAGAAAGGAAAGAAAATGAACTTGAATGACCCCAAAATATCTTCCCTTTTAAAACAATTTCTGGGATTCTTCCCCTGGGGAAGAAAACATGACATGCTAGCCCACCTGGAGAAGTTGCAATGGTTACACATGGCAGGGTGGCACACACCTTGTGATACAGATGAGGACTGGACAGTGGGTTGGGGGATGCCGAGGGAATGGCTGGGGAAGACACATGACGGACAGCCTTCAAGGACGCACTTCCTTCCACACCAGCCTGTCTGCAAGGAACAGGGGCAACGCCAAGGGTCGGCGGAGGGATAGCAAACCTGGTCTAGGAGTAAAACAGAAACATTCATAGCTTCCTACAAAGTGACAGCACCAAGTCCAAGCCTATTCCAAAGAGTGGGGCTCTTTGTGAACACCCCATTTGTACATAGGCTCAATAAAACAGTTTGTATTTTACCATGATCTAATAATATATCCTTTCATTGGAAATCAAACAAATTATTACTAACAATTACAAAATGAAGTATGCCCAGTAAACCAATTCATAAAGTTCTAAAACTCACTGAAGACCAAATTCACTAAAAACCTACAGCCATAAGAACTACTGCTCCTCGAATCTATGGAAAGAGCCTCAGGGTAAACTCCCCACTCCAACCTGAGCTGAACACAGGGACCACAGAGAAAGGACAATGAGGACAGGTGGCAGCTCCTTCTTGCCTCCACTCTATTCCTGGGCTGTTCTATTTCTGCATCGCCCATTTCCAGAGGGATACTGGTGAAAGTCACTCCTTAGATTTGAGGTGATGCCCCAATCTCATCTAAGCATCATGTGTGTTTACCCCAAAGACCTCTTAGAGGGAGACTGCAGCTTCTGAGGGGAGTGGACGGAGAAGATGATACTCACAGGCAGGTCTTCAGGGGATGGAGAAAAGCAGCTGCAGGGACAGCAGAGCACAACCTCAATGCTTTGTTACACTTTACTAAAATCGTATAGTAGGGATCCCAGTCAAGGAGTCCAAGTTTCTGGTATCACCACAAAACCACACCTGGTCCTCTGCTCTGCAGGGCTTTGCTCCCCAGGGAACTGGGTTCCCAGGAAAGCAAGCTTAATTCCTCAGGGTCTCTTAACAATCTCCAATGTCATCCCTGTCAGACTTGGAAATCCTATCTTGAATGGGTGGCCACCATTTTGTCAGCAGCACAGGGATGCAGGTCATGTTTTAAGATGGCATTTTACTTAATTATTCCATTAGAAGTAAAATGAAAAAGTGGGCTCAGCCTTGTGCGACCATTCTACTGATGTGAATACTTTACCCTGGCTCATAGATAGCAGAGAACAGATTTTTAAATTTAAGTGACAAACTGGGCCACAACACCACTTTTCTTAGACACCATAAGGGCTCACATTCTTAAGACTATATGAGGACTGAGGTGTGGTACTGCATTTGGCTCTCAGAGGCATGGAGTTAAAGAAACACCTCTGTGATAGTCACATGGTCATATGTCAGGCCAGTGGCATGACCACTGGACACAAACAAGCTTATCTGAGCAAAATTTAATAGTTTAAACAATTGCCTCAGAATTTTACTTGTATGCAGTAGATAATGGTTTGTAACCTGGGCTGCACTTTTTTGGGCAAGGTGTGTCAAGTGCTCGCTAATGTTGTAACCATGAAGCTGTCTGCAGTGAGTATCTCAAGGCCTCAGGGTATCTCCATGAGAACAGCTCCCCAGCAGAGCCAAAGCACTCCAAGAGACCCATATGCTTGTTCCTAACTGCTTTAAACTCAACTCACAGTTCAAAGTTAAGTTTCACTTTCAAGTAAATTTATGTGTTGGGTTTATACAATATTCAACCAATGTATAATTGAGATACACATACAAAATTCAGTGTTGATAAAATTCTCTTTTAGACTTCTAATTTTAAAACAGAGGACATTTTCTAACACAAAAAGTCCCTAAATAGTACGTAATTAATAATACAAGAAAAGTCCAAGTTCATAGTGAAATGCTGAAAGCCTAAACATTGAGATTGTAAGAGGAGTGAGTGACTAGCATCAGAGTCCCTCTCCTCCGAGATGACCCAGGACAGGGGTCTCCTGCTGGACACTGAGGTAACGTACAGAAAGACAGTCAATTTGGTCCCTGTCAAAAAGCATTTCAATACTGAAGGACTAGTCTCCTCATTGCTAGCTTAAGACATTACAGCCTCCCTATCAATAGGGACAGAGACTATCTTTTGCACAACAAGAACTGCATTGTACCAACCAAAAAATGAGAAAGCTCCCATAGCGATAGAAAGGTTTTAGCCTATCAAAGACACAAAACTGCCATCATTCTCCTGTGATGCATTTCACAGCTCAAACGCTGTATCCGGGACCCATCCCCAGGAAGGGAACACTGTACCTGATTGTTGGTTGTCATAATCAGCGTTCTTGAAGTAGTGGGCTGAGGTTTGCCAGCGGGTATTGGCAAGGCAGCAGGTAAGCTGGCCATCAGAGCAGTTGGTGCTTGTAGGCTGAATTGGTAAACACTGGGTGTGGTGCACGGTGGTGTGTCCGAGTCCTGGAGTTCAACACAAACAACAAGGAGAGCTGTACACCACGGCGGTGCCTCTAAAGGATACAACAGAGTGCCTGCATGGAGGTTCGTCCTGAAAGGCCATTACAACCAGTCTAGCTTCTGAGCAATAGGCAGCCCAAGTCTATTCACAATGCCTTCAAGTCATTTCAAGACTAAAAGAGTCTATGTTAAATACAGGTGAGATGCTGGAGCTTAACTTTTCTTTTTAATCTCCAACTAGGTTTTTAAAAAACTATTCAAAAAGTCTGTGTTTCAACTGTGAGTGCCACTACTGCTCCTGACCAATGGGTCATATGAGCAACGAAGACCAAAGACCAGGGTTTTCATCTTGTGGCGGGGGGGGCAACCCAATACAGACTATGGGGTGTACCCACAGACAAACAGACAGACACATACACATGGAAAGAAAGGGTGACTGAAATGGAGGGACAGGTTTTAAAACTATGCGACGATGAATACCAGGGATACAAAACACCCGACAGAAGCCCCAGAGGGCAAGGGCACACTCACAATGTCACTTCCAGAAAGTGAGGACACGGATGAAGCAGAAGAGCCTGAAGAGAGGAGTTGGGGGCTGGACAGGGACAAAGTAAGGCGCTGGCTGTAGGGCGAGCCAGGCTCTCGGTTCTGTGTCTGCTCCCCATTGCACGTGGTGACTCGCTCTTTGATCTTAATCCTGTTGTCTGGGATGAGAAGCAAGACCAGGTCACTGCACAGTCCAGATGCACTTCATGCCCTACGGCCACCATCAGGCACAGGCACTGTTGAGTCCTGCCATGCTGCCAGTGTGGCCGGCAAACTGAACTTGTAATTTTAATCTGTTTTATAAACTATTCGGTTAGATCCTGGAAAACATTAAACTGTGTTTGTAACAATATGGGTATGTGATTCATCTTCACCTGTAGCTTTTATGAAATCTAAATGCAAATCAGATATTTCTAATGAAAATTTAGCATCCTAAAAAGGATGTGTATTTCAAAGTACAGAAAAGAGATGTAACATGTCTCAGTAATTTCTTATGCTGATTACATGTTAAAATATTCGTGTCTTGAGTGGGAGTTATGCAGGATTAAAATTAATTTTCACATTTCTAATGCAGCTTTAGAAACTCTGTAACTCCATGGGTGGTGCACATTACTGTTCTATGGGACAGTGCTGGTCTAGAGCTTTCAGTTTCTAATTGAACTGCGTATCAGAAAACCCAGCTATTTTGTTAGTTTGAACAATCTACAAGGGAAGGACAAAGAGGTACTTCTCCATTAATTCAACAGATGGTTGAGATTCACATGGCTGAATCAGCTGCTCACCGAGGTCTGGCGACGGGTGGATTCTGCTGCCCCACTTCTCTTTGATCCACCTCCGATAGTCGATCACTTCCTGAGTTACTTTGATGATTCTTCCTAAAGTACTGTAAAGGGACAAAATTGGACCCCTCTAGAGTAGCCACTTGGTACAAGATTATGCCATCTTGTTAAAAAGCAGAAGTGAGCTATCTTTACAAAACACTTGTGAGTTCTGATGTTTAGCTCACACTCACTCTGAGACCACAGTGCAGGAAGTGGGTGCACTCACACAGAAGTCCTCACACCTATGTCCGTCTACACAAGACACCTGCTTCAATCCAGTTCGTGGCTAGGGGAACCCAGCCTTTCCACTCCCAATGACCACAACATTCTGATACTTTCATTTCCCAGTGCAAAGGTGAGAATGGAGAGACCCTGCCAAGAGACACTAAACGCCCATCACCAGGCCCAGGACTGACCCTGAAACACAGTATACAAGTATCGAATGTCACCCTGTAGCCTCTACCACCACCACTGTGGTTAGAGGTTGTCAAGACAGGCCTCCAAGTCTCTTTACTCCATGGTGCACCCCAGAACAGAAGTAAAGGCACTCCCAACTACCATCTCCACAATCCTGGTCTTCCTCTCCACTCCCATTTTCTCTCCCTTCCTCCCCACTACACCGCAGTAGCAGAATCTGGGGTCAGAAATAAATATTTCTAGCTCTCAAGAAAGTGGGTACTACAAAAAGGCTTTGAATATAGAATGAAGGACAATCGTACATGATGGAGAAGGGGCAGAGCTAAGACCTCAGATATGCTTTCATTCAGAAGCTGTCTGCACATGTGAAGGCTGTCTGGAGGAACAGCATCATTGAAAAGCTTGAACATCTCCCAATAGGAAATACCCTAAAGAAAATGTCACCTCTCCAAATAAATGCTCAACTCTCAACCACAGATGAACCAAATACAGCCATCCTGAATCCCTAAAAGGTCTTCCTTTATCAACATGTGCAAGTTCTACTAAAATATGACAGGGCAATTTCACAGAAGCAAGTGACACAGGAAAGGTTTAACTGCCATCCCACAGAAGAGGTGAGCCCAGAACACAGATGTAGGACCTCAGTTACCTTTCAGAATCCCTGTTGGGATAGGACCTGGCAAGCGGTGACACAGCGTGACTGAGTACAATGTAGGCATAGTCAAACACCTGCTTCACCTGCATGGCCCCATAGGAGCTCCGGCCAACGTCATTTCCTGCAACAGAAAGGCAGATGTCAGTCTTGGCCTCAGACCTGAAGCCTTTTTCTAAATGTTTTCATCTTTTTCATACAAGTTATTGTGAGTCAAGCCCTTACCACTAAATTGCTTCCAGACTGTAACAGCAAGTCCAAGTCAGGCTAACACAATAGGAGTGCATGGAAATCAGCACCTATGAATGCACTGCTAATCACTGTGCATGGCTCATGGCATGCACATGCATAGAGACTCAGTGTGCAGCAGACTGTGTGGCCACAGTCTACTATCAGCAATAGTGAAGCATCAGTCACTGGTGGAATGACTCCCCACATGGCAAAACACACAAGGAAACCAAAGCCCAATGCTGACCAGCAATGCCCAGTTGCCATGACTGATGACCCCAGAATTATAAGTCCTTCAAATGACCTCATAGCATCAAATACAGCTGTAGTTCACTGAGCACACTGCTATTCATGGAGCCTGCAGGACGCAGACCCTTTAGGATAGAATGTCCTAGATATGAACTCTCGGCTATTAAAACTGGATAGACAGTAATTGAAGTTACCAAATAAACAGTCAAAAGGAGCTTCATTTTTATAAGAAAGAGCAGTTTCAATTACTAATTTATATATAGCTCGTTCTTCGTAAGTCAGGTTGCGTACAGAATTTTTAAGGAGGTATTCTAAGAACTAAAATGTTATCTTTTCTAGGTTGAACTGTAACCCAGTGATAACACAGGCTTTTGTTTTTCAAGTGTAGTTAAGCAGACACTGATGATGACGATGGAAGTCTCCAGCGTGATAACACGGACACACGGATGGGGAGACACTGCCATTTGCTACCACGAAAAGCACTTTTCCAACACTACAGAATAAACCGTGTCACTTAAAAACCACAACAAAACAGGACAGTACATTTTCTTTCAAAAGATTTTTAGGAAACAAATCTCACCCTAGAAGCCATAACACAAAATAAAAGTTGCTGAATCTGATATTAAAACAAAAAATGTACAGAAGCAGAACAATAAAAATTACCAGCTCCACCAAACCAGAGGGGCAGGGAGTATGGTATGTGTAACAAGAATGATTCCCCAACATAAACAACCAGTAAGAGGACAGTTCAGCAGACAAATGGATGAAGTACACAAAGCTGCATCAGACAGAAATACAAAGGGGTGATGCACCTGGAACTGGCCTTCTCCACAACCTGTTCTGTCATCTGTCTGTCAGTGACTCTTACCACCAACAGTAAGAACGGTGTCTCACCTAATAGATACTCAATAAACATTTGTGGACTAGGTAAGTAGCAATGTGTCTAACGCCACTATCATTTTAAAAATGTAAGTTAGAATTTATATCACACAGTTTCTTCAGGTTGGCAAAGACTGTCGCCAAGAGTATGGAGACATAAGCCCTCTTAAATACCAGTGAGAATGAAGCTGGAACACAGAGCCCAGCCTTGGTATCTTGAACATGTCGACCCTCTCCTAGAAGGCATTCTATATACATGAGAAGGGAGGGAGGGTCAAGGATATATTGTTAAGTCAAAAAGCAAAGTGCAAATTTGTGCTGTGAGAAGACATTTCATCAGTAAGATGGCAATAGTAAGTATTAACATGCACATAGGAAGAATATGAAGAAATGCTCATCCAAGCAGGAGAATATGACATGACTTGCTTTCTCTAGTACATAACACTTCTCTCTGGGAAGTGACTGGCTCACGGTAACACTTTTGCAGCCTGAGAAAACTGAACTTTTTTTTCTTAATTCTGACTGGTTACACGAATGTGAACACTTTAAAAGACAACAAGCTAATTAGAAGAAGTAAATAGGAATTGTGAAAGTGTCATAAGGAAGGCTGTTGGCACAGGAGGAACTAGCACCTGGAGAGATGAACTGCCCTGGGGGGACCTGGGGCGGGGGGCAGAATCCCACTGGGTCCCTGAAGCCTCCTGGTCCCCAGCCATGGGAGTGAGGTGCCTTACCAGGCAGCAGGGGGTCCTCAATGCACAGCATCGACGGTCTGTACCCACTGGTCATGGCTTTCATGATCTCTTCTTTGGCGATATAGGCACCTCCTTCTTTTATTCTAATACCAGTTTTCAAGTAATTAAAATTTCTTCCATAGAGTTCAAAAAACTCTACAAGAAGCATTCCAAGGTTTTCATCAGCTCTCCGGGCATCAATTCTTGGATGCAACTGTAAAAGCAATGCAGCCACAGTCTGTATGGACTCAAGACTGAACCAACAATGACAACATACACGTCTAGCAGCCTCTGCAGGGAACCACCAGGAAGTCACACTCGCTTGTCAGCATGGGACAATGTATGAGTAGCAGCAAGGCCTCTGTCAATGAAGGGGACTCAAAAGAAAGAAGAGATCCAGATCTGAATGTTTTATTATACTTGAGGTCCTGAAACTGATAACCCATACAGTGCCTTCCTACAACCACAGACATCTGATTAGCTGCATGTTGCCAAACACTGATAAACTGACCATATTCTGCTCAATCTATTCATCTGGACACTGGATGTAATTTTATACATTCTATTCATCTTATTATTATTGCAAAATGTAACCAATAGGTGGCAGTATTAGATTAAATGTTACCACACATTACCACTTAAAAGCAGTGAAATGATTAATTTTAACTGTACATAGGTAATTAGTATTGTATCACAATATTTATAGCAAACTCATATCCTGTTTGTCATACAGATCAGCATGAGGCATGATTCAGTGCCACACTTTCTTCAAGCAAGCAATGGCCTTGTTCTGACCCTGAGCCACCATCCCCTAGCAACTCTGAATGTACCGACTGAACAGACTGCAGCTGTGGAACTATCACTATTTAAATGAAATCAAAGAACAGCTTGTCAGTCTCACTAGCCACACTTCCAGGAACTCAGTAGCTGCATGTGGCTTGTGGCCTTCCTGTTGGGCTCTGCAGATATAGAACTCTGTCCTCTGCACAGAAAGTCTACTGGACAGTGCCAACCTTGACAGCAATGGTCAAACATATCAGAAAGTCCTGACCAAGCAAAATGATTGAAAATGTGAAACACAGAGCACCAAGAGGAGACAAGTATTTTTAGGACTCAGAAGAATTTTAGCTTCTGAGGATTTGCTTATTTTCACCATACAAGCAGAGCCTTTTCATTTTTGCCTCAACTTTATTCCCTTCGCTATTCCTTGCCTTTAAATCAAATCAAATATACAAGAGTCAGCCCAGAGCAGGCTCTGGCCTTCTTCCCTGGATCAGCCAGGAAATCAACATGGGCACAACAGGCAAAGCACAGGGATCGGCAGATTATACTTCCTCTCCCCTCAGTGTGGCCCCGATGAGGTCCTACCCTGATGCAAGTACCCCACAAAGGAATACAACAGGAAGGAGGCTCTGGGCAGGTCCACATGTGGTACATGCAGGTTGTAAGTTAAGTCATAGTTGCCATTACTATGGTGCTACTTGAATGAGACCAAATCAGGAATCGATGAAGAACTAAGTGAAGAACAGAGGGTGTGTTTGATGCAAAGTAATATCCAAGCACTATGGAAAGTCTGTGAGGCCACATTACTGAGGGGAAGTGGAAGGCAGGCAAGATGATCCAATCAGGAAGGTGACAAACAACCTGGAGTATGCTGTGCTTTCACTAGTGGAAAACCCTGCAAACCCCAACAGGAACCTCAAGCTCACTTACAAGTTCTGTTTAAGAGATTACCAATGTATCAGGAAAATACCAAGTTCTAAACATAAAATCCTCACTAAGCGTGAAAACAAATACTGATCTAATGATAAAACACAGAGGAGTATTTTAAAAAGCACAGCATCGCTAATGGATACCTTGCAGTGTTCAACACCTACACAGGTCTGCTACTGACAGATTTTCCACTATGTTACTCAACAAAATAAGGACCATAGATAATTTAAGACAAAATACTGATGATTCATGAATCTTAAAAGGCTTTCTTAAATTGTTCCCCATATCTAGCACCCAAGTTTATTGTGAAATTTTTTTCAGCATAAATCACAGGCAAGTGCGAGCAAACAGTTTTTTACTATCTATGAAGGAATGAAGACTTTCTCCATATCAAAAAAAAGACTTCCCTGAGCTTAAACAGACATCACCTGACTCCTGGCACCAGCTGAGCACCTGCATGCACACAGGAAAGCCACTACCAATCCAAGCCAAGGAAGCAGCAGGAAAGCACATGGCCAGGACAACTCCATGACACAGGCAAAGAAACGAAGGCTCTGCCAAGCCAGGGCAGAACCAGAGAGGGGAGAGACAGTAAGGCCTGCTGTCGCCCAGGAAGCAACCACCCAGAGCATCAGGAGACTCCCACTTTCCACACCCCAGCTCAGACATTCCCGGGAGAGAACACATACATACCTGCAGGAAACTGATGGCCATTAAAATGAGGCTGTATGAGCTAATTCCACCTGTAAAAACTTCATTCAGGTCCCTCTGCAGAAGGAACTGTTTCAATACTAAAATCAAGTAAGGCAGCAATGAATATTTCTGCAAAATCCAAAAGAAAGATTTACCAGTTAGATAATATACTTTCTCTCGCCCACCTCGAGGCTCTGGGTCAGTCAGTGTCAGATTTTAGGGGCCTAAAGACACAGCTCTCTAAAATAAGACCCTGCTTTAGGAAATGGCTACTCAAGAAAATCAAACGAGAAAAACATCTATGGATTTTCAAATTATCCCTAGAAACCATATTGCTAGGATATCATTAGCGTGTACAGTCCACATTGTTAATGATGGCTACATTCAGCTAAAGCGCTCTAACGTTTGTAAAAGAAATGGCACCCTACGTAAGGCCTCGATTCCTTGACTGTGTTGTGCAAACTTGCCAACAGTACCTTCATGTAATTCTTGATGAACTCTGCTGCCCGGACACCAGTCTCCATGTTAAAGCTGATGTCAACTTTAACTTCAGTCTCCTGATCAGTGAGTTTTATTATCGGTACCTATAAAGATTGAATTTAAAAAGTTGTGCTTTAATTTGCCACATCCTTCACAGCCAGGCATCAAATTATCTCCAAAGTTGTATAGGGGTTTTCATTTTCTTTCTTATTCAGGAAAGGGATTAAAACCCAGATTTTAAAAAGCAGGGGACATTGTGAGGAGTTAACCTCAGTGGTGCTAGAAACCAAGATGATGGCCAGTGCTGTCCTCACAGCAGTGATCAGCCTCTGCCCACTCGTGTTGGCAGACTGCTGGAAAGCAAGGAGTAGACAGCCAAAGGGGACCAGTGCAGAGGGGCAGCAGGGAACGGGTGGGAAGGCCAATGAGAAGCCATATCACTTGTATCTACAGATGGTCCCCCACTTGTGCTTGGTACATTTTTTGAAAACCACACAGACACCCAAATTCTGGAAATGAATACTAACACTGCAGTATTTATTTGGGGGTGGTTGTTCCACACAGATCCCTCACTCTGGGCCCCTGAGCCCAAGATGGTATTATGGGAGGATGGGCAGCAGAGAAGAGAGTGCTACCCCTCAGCAGCTGACATGGCCCTCAGAGAAAAGGAAAAGCTACTCAGTGCCCAAGGTGCTATGCAAGCTGGGAGACTAAGCAGAGACTGCAGCACTACTCAAGTTACTGTCTTCCTCCAGAATGTTCTGGAACTCAGGAAAATCAGGCCCCTCTTTACCTCCTCTACATCTAACTAATGAAACCTGGCAGAAATTCCCACCTGACTCACTGCTGTCCAGATGGCCCCATTTTCATAAACTGCACAAACATGAATGGACAAAAAAAGGAGAGAGCCAGAGGGACAGAGAGAGTGGATCCCTCCCTGAATGAGGATGAAAGAGGGAAAGGGACAAGGATATATGGCTTAGAGTCAACGGGCCACAGCAGAGGCCCTGAAACATGAATGCACTGCCTCTGGCTGGCTGTTCAACCCACCTTTGGCTAACTGCCTTGTTCTGCAAGGGCAATGACATGCCACCTTGGGCTAATTACATGCCTCAGTGTCCTTACCTATAAAATGTGAAGGACAACAGTCTGTCAGTGAGAGAGGCTGGTAGCACTAACTGCAATTCGGTCTTAACCATCTTACAAAGTGGCCAAAGCTCAGCTCCAAGCAGAGCTCAGGGGAGAACATGGTCTCACCTGGAAATGGGCCTGGAGGGAGGGAGCGCCTGGGTGCTAGCCTGCTCTGTGCATTCAGTCACAGGGGCAGTGATTCAGTGCATGCACTTTGTGAAGACGCAGAAAAATGTTCACCTCATTTTCAGAGTGCAGGTTTACAACTGAAACTCTCTCCCATCCCAGTTAAAAGCACCTGACTGAGAACAGGCACTGAAGAGTCTGTGGAGCAACTGTTCATTGGATCATGATGAGCAGATGAAACCCCCACCTTCACCTCTGACCATCTATCTGTTCAGACACTGCCGGATGTCATCACATGTCAGACAAGCTGACACGCCAACTCAACACTGAGTCGATACTAGCCAACAGCCCAGCTAAGCTGGTAACTGCCACCTAGCAGGCAAGGGACTTATAAGTCTGTCTATCTCTATCTCTATCTATCTGAGGTACTGGAGTGTAAACTCAGGGCCTTACCACTTGAGCCAGCCTTCTTCAGTTATTTTTCAGATAGTGTCTCATGTATTTGTATAGGGAAGGTCTCAGACCTCAATCCTCCTACCTCTGTCTCCTGTGTAGCTGGGATTACAAATGTGCATGACTTGCCCAATTTATCTTTTGAGATAGAGTCTAACTCCCCCCTTTCACCAGGCCTCAAACCTCAATCCTCCTGTCTTCACCTCCCAAATACCCTGGAATTATAGCTCAGAGCCATAATGCCGAGCCCTAATTTTGAACTGTTATAAACATTAAGTTCACATCAGGCAATCTCTTACAGCTTCTCCACAAGATAAGAGCTTTTTCATATGCAGACACAGTTTTTGAGCAGCAAAGGGGGCAGGTAAGTTTTCATTGCTTGAAGATAACTTAGCAAAAGGTCATCTTTTCCATATCATAACTGAAAATGCCATGCTCTGATCGCTTAGATACACACTCCAGAATGGGCAGTGCTAAATGCTGGCTTCTCCCCTCTTAGATATTCCACTCCTTTCTTTAGTCCTCCTACACAAATGGACATATATATTTTAGAGCCAAGAGTAGTCTGAAGATCTCACAAATCTCAACATTTCAGATTGTCACTGAACACGTTCTCAGCCGGTTCTGATGAAAAGTAATAAGCATATTTACACCAAAAATGTAGCCAGTAACTGCCATCAGGCAGCATGAGCCAGTCATGCCAGCAGATCACAGGCTGCCTGTGAGGCACAGAGGCCTCCTGCATGGGTAGACGGGCACAGGCCCACACTCACTGTAGCTTTGTCAAGGACTTTGATGGAACACGGCTCAGCCACATTGTGCTTCCGCAGAGCTTGCTCCAACAACTGCAAAGGAGGACGCTCCCACTTCCCAAAGACCACCAGGTCTATGTCACTGAACAGAAAAGAAAGACACATCAGCGGGGGAAGGGGGGAGAAATGACCCAAACGTTGTATGCACATATGAATAAAATAAAATGAAATAAAAAGAAAGAAATGCACATCAGCACCATCAAGCGGCCAGTGTGGGAGGGCCAGCACTACAGAATGCTGCCTCCATCTCCCTCAGGTCCATGACACAACCCATCAAGCACTTCACCCTCGGGGATGGAACGCAATTTGTTTAAGGGCACCCCCACTGCAGCAGGCAACCCAGGAGTTAAGATGGAAATGCTGCTCTCAAAACCAAGCAGCAGCTCACAGCTCCAGGCGCCCACTCCTGTACTGTAAGCAGGGCTCATGCTTGCTGGCCAGGGATCCCTGAGTACCTTGAGTCTGTTCAATGACTAGTGTCCCTGCCAGTGCCAATCCCCAAATTCTAACGTCATAGCCATGTCAGCCTCCGAATGCTGACTAGCAGCAGGTTAACAGAGAATTTTGATGAAATGATACACAGGAAATTTATTTGGATAATATAAAGAATTCTTAGTAAGAAAACATTTTACAACGTGAATTTTGCATTTTTCTACTATATATAAATCTTCACAAAATAGTTTAAATAGAATTGTGCTTCAATCTCCATTAGAACTTTATAAAATCAATTTTTCCAAAACATTAGAACATTCTCTACTGCACTTCCTTCCCCCACTCTTGCTCTGATTGGAATATCTTCTCCAAACCTCACAGTGAAACGTGGCTGCTAACACAACAGCGCCGAGACAAGACACCTTTAAGAGGTCGTGGGGATTCCGCCTTCATGAAGGAATTAAAGCTGCGATGCAGGAGTAGGCTAGTCACAGGGGACTGTTTGCCATCCCCACCCCCAACTATTTGATGCCTTCCACCAGGTTACAATGCAGCAAGAAGGCCTCACCAGATAGTTCCCTCAATCTTAGACTTTAAAGCCTCCAGAACTGGGAGGCAAATAAGCTTCTATTGCTCCACAGTTCACCCAGTGTGTGGAATTCTGTTACAGTAGCAGAAAACAGACTAAGTTTCTCATCTGCCTTCCTGTTTCTAGTGCCCAGCATTACTGTACTCCAATAAATTAAGTACCAGAAGAAAAACACCAATCAGTTCATCATCATAATACTAAATTAAATTTTAAATTCCCTCTGTGCTCCCCAATCGTTTCCTGTAGCTGGCATTTCTAGCCTCAGACTTGATTACAAAAAACATTCATTTAGCCCTTAATGAGCACACAGGCACGGTCCACCCCAATAAGCATAGACACTTGCCCACACAGTGTGATCTGGTACTCACCTTGTTGGAAGATAGAGCCCTGTACTAAAGCTGCCAAATATCTGCACCTGAAAGCAAGCATGAGCATCTTAACACACAGCCCACAATTCAAGAAGGCATGCTTCCTTGCTTCTTCCTAATCCTTGGGTAACAAGTAAAAATTTTGGAAGTTAGAGAAAATGGGTAAAAATCCTGCAACCAATAACTAGAGAATGCCCTTCATCTCTTATTAAATACCAGCCTCACAAAGAAAAATTTCAAAAAACTCACAACTGAGATGACTCAAGGCTGAGCAATTTTCAGCCAGTTGCAAACCTTTCAGTAATTTCTCAAACACACAGGTAAGGTACTGGGGCAGGGCTTCCTCCTAAGCACTCAAGTTTAAAGCCAAACATGTACTTCATTTTCAAAGCAGAGGGGACACTGATAACACAAGGCCCTTCAGCACCAGGGACCAAAAGCTCCACATCACCCCTCAGGACCCAGTGGTCATGCGAGAGAAGAGTGGCATGGCGAGAACAGGAGCATCGGGCCAGCAACCTGGTCAGAGGGCCTGGGTCACACTGTCCACACCAAGCACCCCCAAATGCCCTGTACCCCACCTCAATGGATACTCACTCATTCATGTGAAAATGAGATGTAAGAAATACGTCCAAGTCTCACAAAATAACTGTTGTATGCCATCAGACGAGGTGATGGGAAGGGATAGGGATAAAATGTCTAACTTTAAGGTGAACTTAAAACAAGAACAATCACACCATAGGCCTGTGGTACTGGACATGAGTACATGCCAATGTGTTAACTACATGGCTGGGACACACCAGGGTTTGTGGTCCAGCAGGTACAAGGCAGGGAGATGAATTTCTAACAAGCTCCCTGGTGGCAATGCCTGTCCCAAGACCACACATGAAGAGCCACTGTCTCAGGCCAGGGAGGATGTGGGTTTGTGAGGACACAAGTAGCATGTGACAATCACAGGCATGTAAAGTGACTTGCATTGTGCTTTGTGGCACAGGAGATACCTACATCAGCTGTGGGCCAGAGGTCTTTAACCACAGTTTCAATCCGTTTCACCACCTCTCTTCTCATGGCTGCTTCTTCAGGACAAGGGGACATGAAGTTATAAAAGTCAATTATTTCCTCATGCAGTCTAGTGGATAAAAGAGATAAACAAGAGAGTTGCAATTAAACAGAACCCTACTTTCCATTGTGTTAGCAGATAAATATGACGTGAAAATATATTTCTAGTGACTTAAAATCCAGTTTCTTTTCTCCTCAAAAATGTATGAAGTGAAAACTCTGTAGTGGATCATATTAACACAATATGGTTTAGCACCAGAGATGAACACAAGTGAACTTTACCAATACCAAATATAAATAAATATACAATTGGCCTTTAAAGATGTATTCAAAACAATCATTTCAGCAACTTTACATTAGCAAAATCAGAGAAAAACCTCATCTGTGAGAGACCAAAAGATGTTTTCCAATGAATGCATAGAAGTACAGCAGATAGTCAAAGGTATTACCCTCAGACCTGATGCATTCTGAACCCCACTGGCACCTGCCTGGGTTCCTCCTGATAAGGAGCACTGAGAACCTGAGTCAAGACCAGTACATGCCCTCATGAGCCCAAAAGCTCACATCTCAGCCCCACAGTCTGCTGAAGGTCCTGCTGACAACCACTAAGTCCAGCATTCAATACACAAGTTTGTGACTGAAAAAACAGGGTCCCTGGAAGCGGGAAATTCCATCTAGCTCCACCCTCAAGCAAGCTACGTGCTCTGAGCACTCCACCAGGGAGGTGGATAATGGGGCAGGCATTAGTGCAGCCTCTCCCTCCCAGCAAAGCTCCCCGTTGGCAAGGATAGGTGAGAAAATGGAGACTGGGGGATTCATCAAGCCTCCACAGTGCTGCACTCCTGTCACACTACACACTTCACAAAGCTAGCCCTTGACCAGGATACCAGCCTGTAGAGTTAGGTCAAGACAGGGATCTGCACTGCAGATGGCAGGAAGACAGTACTGTCAACCCCTTTTACTTTCAGGGATTAAAGACAGACAGGCAAGTAATTAAATCCTAGGAATTATAACAAATCAAATCCACCTGCTTCCAATCTGAGTGTGAATAATAAAGCAAATAGTAAAAGATAAAAATAAAATATGGTCATCTCAATACCGGAACAACAGTTCATGTTATGGAAGGAATACTTTTTATCAGAACCTAACAAAGTTAAAAAGGTAAGTCATATTATTTCACAGTTTGGCTTTTGTTTCGGGTAAACTTCAACCGCCCCTCACATGAAGTATCACCCCTGCCCCTCAGGGAAAGTCATTTGGAGTGAGCACTCCAGTCTTTCCACGGAGGGCCTAAGGCTGGCCAAGCCCCTCCCAGCACACACAGGACTCGAGCAGTAGGAACTAAGTACTGAACACCCATGCTCACTGCATGCCCACAACCTGTAACAAGTTGCAAGCTGTAACTGGGACCTAATTCTATAAAACAACACTTAAGAATTAAAAATAAAACCTCACCCAAGATTATTCCTGGTCCAGACAGCCATGAGTTATTTTTCATAGATCCAAAAAGGTAGTAACTCATGCAACACTGCAGTGAAGCAGTTTTTCCAAAATACGTAACTGCAAGCCTTCAGGAGTAGCGCTTGCATCTTCTCAACAATTACCAAGCACCAACCACATACCACCGTTTGTCATCTCCATCATCCCTGCTGTCATGGTGAAGCTTGAGGTGTCATTAACTCCTACATTTAGCAATGCAGGCAGGGATGCTACACTGAGTTAGCAGGCCAATGTCCATACCATGGAGAGGTCACAGACAGCCCTTCTCATTAGCAAGTGTGATGGGTTGCTCTTAACTTTCAGTCACGGTCAATGTGGAGCCCAACTGGGAAGCAGAGATGGTCTCCCCCTGAGAACAGCATGTGCGAAGAAGCCTCAGCTCTGTGCTGAGGACAAGAGTAGAAGACTTTAGAGACATGCTAGTAAAGATGTAGGTTTAAACAAATAACTGGTCCCAGGTTCTGGAAGAGCACTAAAGCTGGTCCCCTACAATTTTATCCACATCACACAGATTTAACCCATTCAAACATCCTGTAAGGGTACTCCAATGGCCAAAATGTTACCACAGGTCTGCCTGCAGAGCAAAATGTCCTATAAAGCTCCTTTTAAGTTTTATCTGAAATAGTTCCATGTAAATAGTCCCCTGCCAGGCATTGTCCTGCAGGTGAAGCCCCTACCACAAGGACCTTTCCTGGCACTCCCAAGAGGAAAGCCATGAGGTGAACATACGCTGTCATCCACAGTAAATGCCCCACAACCAGTGTAATCAATGCCTGTCTGATCCGACATCTGCTTGCTTCCCTGCATAGGGCCAAGAGCTGGCAGCCTAGCATCCCTCCAGTACTAACAGGGCTGCAGCATGTCCAAGTGCCCAGAGCAAGAAGTGGCGCCAAGCAGAAGAGATTCCTGATTTCAACATTGTTCTAGCAGTAAGATAGGGTATCATTATACCTAGCTGACCTCTTAATAATGAGACTTAAGTGTTAGCAACTACTGTAACAACTAAGAATCAGATATTTCTACTTTGTGTTTTCAGAACAGAAAAGAACACTATTGAAAGAGAGTGCTACAGTCTCTTCTGGATGAGGGAGCAGGGAAAGAAGGCTCTGTCCACTCAACCATTATTCCTTCCTGAAGGCAAGCAGGGCTACCACGACACCACCCAACACACAACCAGCAAGGACCAGTGGGTATGACGACTGATGACAGCTATTGATGGAGGAGGGCACAGGAAAGTCTAACTATGTCTGGGCAGACCCAAAGAGCCTTGTTGCTGATTCTTGCTCCAGCTCTATGTAGAACGCTTGAAGGGTAAGGTGGAGGCCAACCAGTGGCCAGAGAAAAGCCATGGAAGAGGAACAACCCAACAAAACATACAAGAGGCACAAGCTTCCATGTCATGCTCCCAGCACCCTTCTCAAGCTCCACCTCCTGACTGTGCATGTGACAGACTGGAGTCCACCTGTGCAGGGGAAGGAGCCCTCCAGTACGGTCACGCTCATGGCTCACTGTGCCATACACCACCGAAAGTGCTTGCTCACAGTGCATAGTCAGTCATGCACTTGGGATGAACCAACCACACGTTGCCCAACCCTGTCCTTGCTCATCTACATGCCCTATAACATGATGTCATGAATGAGCATTCTGAAAACTGTAAAATACACCTGCACTGAAAACAATCGAAATGGCCAAGTATCCTTTAATGAAAATGCAAACAGCACTAACTTAGGCATGCGATATTAGCCTTAGCAGTGGTTTTAACCACCTTAGGAAACTGCATGAAAACAGACATTTGTTCCTCAGGATCTGTGGACTGGGTCCAGCACTCCGTGCTTGCTCTAGTCCTTCATGTAAAATGGTGCAGTATATTCCCACATAACCTCCCCATCCTCACACATGCTTCACACCACCTCTAGATGACCATACTAGGCAAATAGCTGCCACAGTGTGTCAGATGGGGAATGCAAAGTCTGTAAGTGCTCAGTATAGGCATGTTTTTTCCTGAATATGTTAGATCAACAAGTAGTTGAACCAAGGACCAACTGCTTTCACAGTTATGTGCTATCAGCCACATGCCTGTGACCAGTGCCAGGGTCAGCAGCAGCCCTTTCACTGGCCCATGACTCCAAGCACTGAATGTACCACACATTCAATTCTCTAATGGTTTTGCACAGAAATCAATGAGAAGTTTTAATCATTTCTACTCAGTAACAAAAAAGAGGAAATCAATGTGCTCTTCTCATGTTATCAAAACCTCCAGGGAATTTCACAGCTGGAAAGATGCCTGCGTGAAAAACACACTAAAGTCTCATCTGTAGACAAGTCAGGCAAGATCTCTTAGAGTGCAATTTCAGTTCAGTTCACTAATGTTAAGTCTTCAAATCAAGGACATTTCTATGCTTGAACCATCAAAGAAATAAATTCCACTGTGATGGGCCACAGAGGTAGCATCTTGGGGGCAGCAGAAAACAACAATGATCCTAGAGGAGGCCCAGGACACTGCTGCCCATCAGGTCTGCAGTCTCACTGTCCTAGTGAGAGAAGTCCAGAATGTATGGCAGCACTGCCAGCTAATGGACCATGCTGGACAGCTTCAGGTCACCAGTCTGTGGGAGCTGAGAGGATTTCTTCAGAAGGTGTCTTACAGAAGCAGAGCCTTGAACAGATGACTGGGGCTCCAGCATTGGGGACACCCAGGTAACCCAAGAAAGGCAATCAGATGCACAGACAGGAAGGTGGACAAGAAGGTGAGCTAGACGGAACCCTGTATTCAGACCTCTGTTGTTACTGGCAGTGGAACCTCGTCGTTTGTTTGGTGGCACTGGGGTGTGAACTCAGGACTTCGTGCTTGCAAAGCAGGTAAGGTACCATTTAAGCCACACCTCTAGTCCTGGAACCTCCTCTTGGCACCCTGTGGCCTGTCATGCACAGGCCTGAGTGGTGTGGACGCTTGTGGACTACATGTGCCTCTGCCCTACGGTGCCCAGTCACAGATGCTGTAGGGTCACAGACACAGCCCAGCAGCCCCAGGAGCAGAGCTCTCTACCACTTCACAGCACTGGCTTCCTGCCACATTTTCAGTTTTGCCCTCAACTTGGGTTTGCAGTTGGAGCTGCAAACCATAGGACCTAAGAAGCAGCAAGCCTCCGATGGCTTGCCTCTGAGAAGCAAAATCCCAGCACAAGGGACGGTGCCTGCCCACAGAACAGGTACAGGTCAGGACTCTCGTACAGATATACTAAGTGCAGCAAGTCTGAATGATTCACTGTCTGCTTATTCTAAGAAGGATGGAAATGGTGAGGCCAGTATTTTCACGAAAATACTGAAGAACAGACTACAAAAGCACTATGTTCTAGTGTACTTTTCTGCTAAAAATTAAAGTTCATTGAAAAGGTAGCTCTCATTTGTAATCACTGCCTTGAAAGTTCAAACGCATTCAAAAGGTAATGACTGATGGCCCACACTTTCGGTAAATTTCATAAATTTCTACCTTTAGTACACCAAATCAATACTGTCAATGTTTTAGTGAGGAACCCAAATCACCAAGCTATTTTAAGAATAAAAGACCAG